AGTTATGACCTCCTTTAAAGTCTGCAATCTTCAGTAGGGGCTTGGGACCACAATAAGCAGTACAAACAATATCATTACTACTTTAACCAGTAACTTTACACTATCCTCATCTGCAATCATGTTTAATCGTGATTTATCTTTAATCATTGTTGAGGCTGGATTTTACTAAATTGACAGGAAGGTAGCTGGAATATGCAGGTTGTGTGTCTTTAAAACTTTCTCTCACGAGCAGACTCTTGACTGTAGCTTTTAACACTTTGCACAAGTGCTACGTTTTCTAATTTAGGTGTTGCCGCTGTGTGTCTGATACTTGCAGCTTCAAGCGTTTTTCCTCGTGGCAGATGACATCATGGATGGATCTGTCACTCGGAGAGGGCAACCCTGCTGGTACAAGAAGGTGAGACTTAATATATTCCAGAAAAGGAGACTAGTATGAGTTTGTGCTGTGGTTATTTTCCCACTTCCCTCTGGTTACCTATATAAATCCTACCTATTGGTTTGCTTGTTTTTGTTTTTTTTAGGATGGTATAGGTCTGGATGCCATTAATGATTCCTTTCTGTTAGAGGGGTCAATCTACAGACTGCTTCGCAGATATTGCAGAGATCAGCCCTACTATATTCACCTCCTGGAGCTGTTCAACGAAGTGAGTCTTCTTGGCTGAAAGTGTGCTTGTGCATCTGGCAGCAAATTCATCACTTCGTTCGTAAAATGTATGCAGTAACGGCTCTTAAAAGCCAACTGAGAGACTGCTGAAGAGGTTATGACTGTGGTTACGCATGATTTCACTCAAATGTCCAGCTTGAGCAATATATTATTGCATAGTTAAATCCGGCTCAACACTTAGCCATCTTCAGCATTGTCCACTGTCCACAAACTACTCCTCAGAAAATGCAAAACATCCTTCAATCCATTTTCTTTACCGCTTATCCCGTTCGTGGCAGTGGGGAGGTGGCTGGAGCCTTTCCCAGCTGCCATAGAGGGAAGAGAAAAAATGTCCTTTACAACATTTTCCTCAAGCCAACACTGTCATCTTGCTGATGTGTGTTTTGTTCAGCCAACCAATTTAATCAGCCTGCATATTTAGATTGTCATACAAACTAACCACAAAATTTTCAACACAGTTTCCTAATTCTTTAATTAAAATCTCTCAAATGATTCATCAGCTGTCAAAACATTTGCTTATTAAGTGACCGAACAGTTATTTCAGAAACTCAAGTACTTGTGAGTTTTTACTTACCTTGTGTGTTTTCTTCTTTCTTTTCCCCTCAGGTCACTTTCCAGACAGAACTCGGTCAGGCTCTGGATCTCATGACTGCTCCACCCAGACAAATTGACCTCAACAGATTCACCATCGAAAGGTCAGAAGGGGAGAGAGTGTTGAAAGATGAGTGTTGTTTATTGCAATAAGTATTTATTTCTTTTTCTTTTTTTGTCTTTAAGGTATAAAGCAATCGTAAAATACAAGACTGCCTTTTATTCATTTTACCTCCCAGTGGCAGCTGCGATGTATATGGTGAGTGTGTCAACTTCATGTTGCATAAAAATGGAGGTAAAATAATACAGCTTTAAAACACTCTTTGTACCTTTTTTCTTTTCCAGGCAGGAATCAACAGTGAAGAAGAGCACAGCAACGCCAAGCACATCTTACTTGAGATGGGGGAGTTCTTTCAAATACAAGTAGCTACTTTTCCTCATCATTGACCTTCATAGCATAATATTTCCCATTCGTTAGCTGCACGTGTTGCATAATACGCTGCTGACTATTCTGTTTTAATGACCATCTGATGTATTCTGCCACAGGATGATTACTTGGACTGTTACGGTGACCCTGCTGTGACAGGAAAGATTGGCACAGACATTCAGGACAACAAATGCAGCTGGCTGGTTGTGACAGCCTTGGAAATCATGACTCCTAAGCAGAGAGAAGAACTAGAGGTTGGGCCTCATTAAATAAATGCTTCTCTTCTGATCACGTAAAATTTATAAATATGTGGCAGAGTTGGGTTGCCACTGTGTAGAATTTTCATTTTGATGATGCTTAGCTGTACGTGCTCTTTTTTTTTTATCCTTTAAATGTGCATTTGTATGGTTGTTAGTTTTAAAACTTTTCGTTTTTAAATCAACTGATATAATGAGCAAAATAATAATATTAACCGTATTAATACATTATGTTGCAGAGAAAGTAGCAATCTCTCTATCTAGCCCTGTCCCTTACATTCTTGTAATATTACTTTGTAATTAAGGGGGGGATTTTGAGTTAACATAGCATCTCATCTAGAGAGAATTTTCATACGGACAAGAGAGTAACCACTGTTTGTGTATACTGTCGTTAGACTCTGCAGTAGGATAGAATAAACATCTAGATCTGCTGCCGGGGTAGCTTCATTATTCATGTCAGCTGGTTGCAGAAATTAGTCCTTGGCATCGCCAGATGTTGCTAGGGCCTCAGTCACATGCCATAGAGACCAGTCAACGGTTACACTCTATTGTCTGCTTGTTGTACAACAAGTTGAGATACATCCAACTACAACAAACTACACAGCAACTTGATTTAGTGCTGGCAGTTATGCAGCTCTATGGTCTAAAGCTCGCATTGCTGGCTTGCGTCTTCTATAAGAAATCAATACTAGTTTCTGGTGGAGTAGTGGTTCAGCTCTGTTTGCGTCATATGATATAAAATTGCTAATCTTACCCTTAACTTTTCTTACTAGCAGATATTCAATGTTCTGGGCATCCAGAAAATTCCCCTGACGTATGTGATCATTGGTACAGTTTAAGTCTGTATTAAAACGTCTACACCTTTAATTCTTTGACGTTCATCTGTTCCCACCTTGTTTAGACTCATGACTAGAGTCATTTGTTAGTGTTAACAAGTTCATTTTGATCTCCTCCTCAGGGATGTTATGGACAACATGATGAAGCCAGTGTGGAAAAGGTCAAAGCACTGTACAACAGCCTGCAGATGCCATCATTGTACCAAAAATATGAAGAGGAAAGCTACCAGCGCCTCCAGAAACTCATCGCCAGCCACGCACAAAACCTTCCTCACTCTGTTTTCCTCAATTTTGCCCAAAAAATCTACAAGAGAAACAAGTGAGAGGGCTTGCTGCTTTGTAGAAAATATGTTAACAGAATCAAATACACAAGTCTGGTGACTCTTATGAATACGCACAAGCAGGTCCTCACTTATTTAAATAAAGTGTTTCAGACCTCAGCAGTGTAACTCAGTCAGGACTTTGTTTAATAGACGATGTCCTCTGTCAGAGGAATCTGACTGATAGAAGGATAACTTTGGAGTGAATCACAAAGGGTCTGATTTAACTTCAGTGTGCCTGAACTGAGGAACACATGAGAGGGATGATGGATTAATGTTTTTTTGATTGCATAATAAATGGGTGAATGCTGATGGCAGAGGACAGATGATGAAAACTGACAAACTGTTCCATATGTTTTATAGTGTTTAAAGTCCGTACTAGCCAAGAATTTATTGCTTTTAATAAATAATATATAGTGTATGAACAAACATGGTTGTGTACATTTCATCTTTTTGTGTGGTGTTATGTTGTTTAAAGAGACAGGATTTTTTTTTTTTTTTTTTTTTTTTTAGCACAGCTTTTCCAAACATCCTGGTTTTATTTTGTATGCTTGCGTTACTTTACTTTCCTCACACAAATCAAAATTATTAACCACCATGATGCTAATAGTCAATGGTGTGTCCAATTTGCAGCCTGTAGTCAGTTTTAGTTTTCACAAAGCCTCACATACGTCTGAGCAATCTCAGCCCAGCTCTCAAGCTCCTCCAGATTTGATGGTCTTCCCGACAGATTTACAAAGTCAGGGCTTTGTGCAGACCAGTCTGTAATGTTCACTTTGGCCATCTGGAAGCAGTTCTTCAACAGAGGCAACAAATGTTTTAAGTCACTGTCACCTTGGAAAACAAAGCGATGACTGCTTGAGGTTTTCTTCCAGAATCTTCACATATCCTTATTTCTTTGTGATTCCTTCCACTTTCATGAGATTCCCAATTCCAAATGCACTGAAGCATCCCCACCATGATGTACCCCCAATACGGGTGTTCTTTGGGTTGTATTTCTCTCCCTTCTTTCTCCAAACATAAGCAGCATCCCTGCTCTAGATTCAGCTCATCTGAGGAAAGCACTCAGCATATTTAGCATACTTTAGTCTGACTTCAAAATTTCTCGCAGTTTTTCTTTCCAGAGTGTTTGAAATCTTTTGCTTCCTACGTCTACGAGACTTGGTCTGTATTGTGTGGCTCCCTTTGAATTTCTTGACGATACTTCTCACTCCAGTTCTTGACACTTGGATATGCTGTGATACTGTTTTATATCCATCTACTGCTTTATCAGCATGAATAAGTCTTTTTCTCGACTCATAACTGATATCTTCTGTTTTTGGCATGATTTTTACTCAAGTGACGACTCAAACCCTTGCTGACATTTTTATACTGTGTTTAACTTGGAGGATAACCGTCAGCTTGAGCTTTGAGCACTACAAAATAATAGCATGTCATTGCACAGCAGTGGTTCATGATATAGCTCAATAAAAAGATCCGTTTTTCAGCGGGCTAATAATTTTGGTCATGGTATTTGTTTCTGAAATAATTTTGTTATTATGTACAAATAGAAATAATTGTGTGTGTGTGTGTGTGTGTGTGTGTGTGTGTGTGTGTGTGTGTGTGTGTGTGTGTGTGTGTGTGTGTGTGTGTTGGGAGAGGATAATAATTTTGTCCTTTTCTATATGTATTTAAATTGCAGTTAAACGCAATTAAATATGACTTTTTTATATGAGTTAATTTTCTGTTAAAGAAATCACCAAATGCATAAATCATGATAATTGGGCGGTGAACACTTGAGACTCATTATTTTAAGGAGGCAAAGCTAAAAAGGACTATAGATTAACTGAATGTGATGATAAGGTAAGGGGTGTGGTTTGATCGGGGGAGGTGGGGGGATTTCTGGATGCTCGCGAGAAGACAGATGCTGAGGCTATTCGAGATTCACATTCTCACGGACTGGGGATGTGAGAGAGCCCGACGAGATGGAGACCTTCATCCATCTTTATCTGAATGTGAGTCAAGTGCATTTTTATCAGCTTTATCGTGCATGTAGATGTCTTTCAAGCGAACCTGCATGAGACGATCGGGTAAGAAAATCCTCCTCTTACCCCCCCGAGACTGCGTAGGATAAGACAATAAATTCCTCTGTTCGCGGTGGCATTTGTCGGATTAGATAGCTTTGCGTAAATACGCAAATAACTGTTTTGTCTGTTCTAATTGTAGTGTGAAAATGATGGTTTTTGTCTGAGTTGTAATAGGGGCGTATGGGCCCGTTTATCAGAGCGATGCGGGTTGGAGGTACTCCCCTCCTCCCTCCTCCACCCATCCACCCCTGTCTCCATCAGCTCTGTGGGATCAATAGATACAGGGTTAAACTCTGAGCACAGGGCGGATTGCATTACATATGACGGTATGCTGTGTTTTATATTTTATTTCAAGGCTTAGTTTGCTAAGGGCCATCCCGACGGAGGCCCAGCAGTGTAAACAGGCACTCCAGTGATTTATATTCTTCAGTGATGTGAAGGGCACTGTGGAGGAATATATGAGCAATAGCCTTCAGTAGATGGGCTTTTAAAAAGCAGACTGGGTGTTGTTCTCTACCGCTGAGTGATTATTTCATGCTCCACTTAAATGTATGTGTGTTTTCTTTGTTATTTACGATTTGTTTCTTTTGATCCAGATTTCCATGAATATCATAGCCCAGTGAAGACGAGCATAACTGATGACAGTTATCAGACTATAAATTAGCTGACAATTATTATTACAAGGAGAATCATTTCATGTGTGTGGGTGGGTGTTTGAATAGTTGGGTGTTGTGTGACACCAGCAGATGAAAGGAGCCGTGAAGGTATCTTGCAGAAGCACTGCATACAAATAGAGAAGCTCTAAAAGTATCTATTTAGCTGCAAGATTGCAGGAATTAAGTATTCGAAATTTTGTATGGAAGACACCACCTTCTGTATTACACTATTATCACCGTTTGCATCATCTCACCATTATGACAATGTAATTTTTTGTTTATGTGGATATTATTATTCCCAGGGACGCTGGAGCTTATCCCAGATATTGTAGGGTTCACTCTGGACAGGTGCCCAGATCTGAATAATATTTTTGATCATATTAATAGTCATTTTAAGCCCTAACATACATTTTATATGTTAGGGCTACATTTTTCCAAACAGATGAGTCCCAGCTGTGGTCTTTAGATGTCTCAGTACCTACCATAGTACCTCTAAATCTTATTCCTAAGGTGTCAGAATATTTAATATTTTAATATCTAAATATATTTATATAATATTTAATATCTAAAGCTGTCAGAATATTTAATTTTTGGCTTTAAGAATAATTCTGCTAGTCTAAATAATAGAGCTACTTTTAGCTGCTCTCTCATTCACAAGGGGCCGACACAGTGAGTAGCTCTTCATGTTTAATTTGGCAGATTTCCTTCCAGGATCAAACTGGAAATCTTTCATTTTTTTAGGCAAAGATGTAAACCACTGCCACATTAGAGAGCCAGTTTGCCAGTATAAAAAAAGTCTAAAAAATTATTTGCATTTTTTCTCAAGAAAAAGTCCCTTTGATTTGTATCCACAGCATATGGTCAGGGCTTATCAATGATGACTAAGACCTCACAGGGTTAAATGATTATTTGATTATGACTCTTGCTGATTCACTTTCAGTGAAACTGACTGCTGGAGAGGCTGTGGGATGGAAAGAGCAAATCTTTTCCATATATTCTTTTGACGATAGGACAGAATGGCATTTGGATATCTAGTTTTCAAATCTTATATTTAAGTACCATCACACCGGCTTATATATTTCTATCAAACCTGTAATGATCCTGGTTGCTCTGCATGTGTTAGCAGATTTGTTTGACTTCCTGCAGGAAAAACTAACCTTTATTTGACCTGTTTAAGATGAATATATTTGATAAATGCTTGAAAGGATGGAGTAAATAATAATAAAAATTCAAACAATGCAAACCAGACTTTGTGTGAAAGTGTACAGTTATAATTTAACACCGTGTTACACAGCAGTGTAATCTGCTGCACCTGGTTTTAAATATTTTATTTGTTTGTTTGTTTTTTACTTTTGGTTGGTTTTGCATTTATTGTTTGGATTGGTATGCTCACCTTTAATACTAAAAGAAAAAATCCCACCTCAACACACACACACACAGAGGAATTAAAATTAACTACTAAGAGTTCTCACCGTATTTATTTTAAGGGGCAATGCTTGACAATGTGCTACTCTAACTGTGAGTCACAGTGTGTGACTTCCCGGGCTGTGATAATTACAGAACAGAAAACCCTCAAAAGCAGTTGCCTTTTAATAAATAGTCTCGATGATGGGTTCGCTTCAAAGCTTAAACCTAATATGCAAACATGTGTAGAGTAAGAAATCGCTCTGCGATGAGCAGAAGCTGCTCGTATTTGTTATTCACTGTGTGTCTTCTTTGATGTTACAGGATCTTGGGAGTCACGCCAAGATGTGACTGTCACGGCGCGTCATAGTTTGGAGGCTCTACAATACTTGTTTCCATAGCAACAGAAATATCAGAATATCCAAAAAAGTCCCATTCCCACAATGCAGTCCTCTCAGCCGCCGAAACCGCGGCGCTTTGACGTCAGCAGACGGACCAATAACTTAGCTGCACCAAAGTCTCACGGCCCTGGGTTTCAGAGGGAGGATAAAAACATGAACACAATCACCACGCCGTCCCCACGCCGGGCCACCAAGGGTCCCACTGCTCCCTCCAGGACCAGAGTGGGCGTACAGCCTCGAGCTCCAGTAAGCCAGTCCAGGTTAAGCTCACAGAAACAGGGTTCTACTGTCTCTAAACTAGCTAAACCCAAACCCAAGAATGCCCGTGCATCTGCAGCAACTCAAATTGTACCCGCACCGGATCCGCCTCCTCCGCTTCCCTCAGTTCTTCCTGTTGACCCGAACTGCAACGAGCCGAGCCTCCCGTGTCTATGCTGTGATGGCCGATCCCCGCAGGACAACAACAGCATGTTCAACCACAACCACAACAACAACAACACCATCTCCCTCAGACATCAACTGCAGCTACCGCCTCCACCGGCCCCGATGCCCCTGAGGCAGGATGGGACCGGGGCCAAGGAGCAGGCACAGGCAAAGGCCCAGATGGAAATTTCTGCCTGCCCTGCTGCCAGTCTGGAAAATGAAGAGAAGATTTCAGATGAAAACACTGAAGTAGACAATAAGAAAAATGCAAAGGTGGAGGAAGATGATGAGGAAGAGAGCAGCGGGGATATTGAGATTGATGATGAAGAGGACGATAACGATGACGATGAAGATGATGACACCCTGGTCCCCTCGTGCTGCGACTGTCCCCCCTCCCTCCTGGAGTTCTCGCTCTCCTCTTCTACCTCCTCTTCCTCCACTTCCATCAGCTCCTGTTCTGATCTGGAGTCTGACTGTGCCGATCAATCTGCCTCCATCTGCTCTTCCCAAGATCAAGACAATCTGTCCGTCTCTCTTTCCTCCAAAGACCACTCTCTCCTACAAGGCCCTGATAGCAAGCCTCCTGCTCGCTCACCTCCATCCCTCCTTCTGAACCGAAATCCCTTCTGTTTAACATCTCATTCCCCGAGTCCACCTTGCTCCCCAGATGAGGGTTACCCTTCTGCGCTTGACTCACCTTCCCCTGACTACTTAGGAGTCAAAGATGATTCTGAGGTCACCAAATTAGGCTTGCTTGACTTTCTAGAATCGGTCGGAGAATTTGGGAAAATGGAGCGGTTCAGCCAGGTGATCCAAGTGGCTCGCTGGGATCTGGACGGGGAACAGCACTGGGATGTTCTGCGGGATCGCTTAGATCACCTGGATCGCTTGGAAAAGGTGAACAGGGAAGTAAAACTGACCTACATTGCCAGACTCCACGAGAAGGGACTTGATCTTGGAGATCTGGATGAGCAGGACCTTTCAGATGTCATGGATGAAATGGGCAACATTGACATTCCCTGGAAGCTGTATAAAACACATGATGGAACGATGGGAGAATCTCAGGAGTTTTCCGATGCCGGGGTCGACTTAACCGCTCCGTCAGACTGTGAAGATCCCCTCGTTCCAGATTCCCTCACACCTTCCCCTGTTGAACCGCCACCTAGACCCCCAAAACCTCCAGCGCGACATGCCAGCGTGAGCTCGGACCTCCACACCTACATAAATATCAGCAGAGAGACCACCTCCATTGCTGTTTCCACCTCTCCTACATTGTCTACCTTCTCACCTAACTCCTCATCCCCCACATTCACCACTTTTAGGTGTGAGAAATCCCTACCTTCATCTCCACCATCCATTCCTCCTCTCCCTGCTTCTAAGCCAGTTCCTTACCTCACTCTGTATACCACCCCTTCTCCACCTCCCTCTATCCCCACCCCAACACCTCCTATCCCTCCACCTCGAAAGCGACACCTCGCACGGAAGGAAGCGCAGCGCCTCGCGGCTCTTCAAGCCGAACAGGAAAAGACCCCCATGTCCCTCCCCCCACCTACCACCCGCCCCCACCACTCCCTCCTCCACCTGTTATCTCAGTCTCCTCTTCCTCTCCTCCTGCCATACCACCTCCACCTGCGCTGCCTCCTCCACCATCCTTCCACGCATTGGATGTAGAGATTCGGAAACTGCTCATGCTTGCTGGACTTACCCAAGCTGAGCTCCTCAAACTCAGCCCTGAGCTTGGTGTCTGTGTCGGGGGGTTAGAAGACGAGGGAGATGGAGATAATTTCATGAAACCGAAATCTCTGGAGTCGCAAGAGTTCAGTCTGCGGTACAGAGAAGAGGAAAGTGAGCCTGACACACAGCTGGTGGCCAGAGATCAATGGGTTGGCACTGAAAAGTTGGAGGGAGATCAAAAAGCAGATATAGCTGAAGAAGGCAAAAAGAAAGAGGAGGGCAGAGACACACAGAGAACAACGTCATTTACTGAGATGGCAAGGAGAAGGAAGAAAAACACTGGCTTGGCATTCGACCAGTACTACAGTTTAAGCAATACACATGAAGATAAAGCAAAGAATGTGAGCTTTGGGGCTTCCCGTTATTCTGCTGAGCCACCAGAGTCACCGCCGCCTCCTCCTCCCCCTCGCCCTCTGCCACCCATTCCTCCATGTTTGCCATCCCTCAAAGTCAGCACTCTGCCCGCCAACTCTGAACAACCTGAGCGTTTTGATTGGCTGATAGCATTCACACCTGAGTGTGAAGCCCCACCACAGCTGCCACCCCTAGAAAAGAGAAAGGCATATGTGGAAACCCAAAAGAAGCCCAATTCGTCAGGTACCTCTCCAGGGTCAGCTCCAAAGGTCACAACCTTTAAAGAGTTGCGTTTCCGCAACAAGAGCTCCTCTCCTCCGACTAAGGTGATCATTGAGCCCGATCCTGACCCCACAATAATCACTCCAGATCCAGATATACTCTACAACTTAAAGTGGAGGAAACATAAGGAGGGAAGTGATGGCAGCCAGTGGGAGTACACCTCTCAGGCTCAGGCCCTCTTCATGCAGCCGCCGCCAGCCCTCACCTCAATGGCTGCTCTGCAGGAAATGCTCCAGAGAGCTGATAAGGAGGGGGGGCAACTAGAGTTGTGCCCATCACAGAAGATTGGCTGCTCAGTCAGTGACAGCAGCCTGTGGACCTTGGGCAGAGAGTGGGAGGGGGAAGAAATTAAGAAGGAAGAAAAAGAAGGGAAGGACAAACTAAAGGAGGAGGTGGAGGTGAGAGGACAAGCTGATGGAGGACGGACTTTTGAATCAAGAACTTCAGGTGAGTGTGATTTTAATGGTAGTAAATTGGAAGTTATATTCAATAACACAAAGTACAGTCCTGCCTGTGCATGTGCATAGAAGAAAGTAAACACACAAAAATAAGTCAGAGCAAATTGGATGACAGAACAGATCTGGGACGGGCAGATGATGGAGAGGAACAGATGGGGAAAAGGCACGCTCACAGTCGTCTTGCTCAGTTCTTCAGTGATGCACAAATAATATCCTTTGACATTACAATGAAAAGAAACAGAAAGCCAAGGGAAATGAAAAAAAAAGTACACTCATTTGTGGAAATGATAAATGGAGCCACGGAAGAGAGATGGAGCGGGAACATGAGTCACTGAAAAGGATGATGCAATGATGCGATGGCAGGGGATAAACAGGGTGATTTTAGATAGGGGAGTAAGAAATGTGAACACAACAGTGAGAGATGGAAGAATATAGTGAGGCTAGTGAAGGTAATATGAGGAGAAAGGGGAGGTTGGAAACTTTCCAGCCAGTATTTCCTGTACGGGTTATCAGTGTGTGATGTCATCACAGACTTATTCAATTATTCATCCACTCTTCAGATTGAGGGGGAGAGGAATAATGGAGCTCACTCACTTTAAATCGGACTTTTTCCTGTTTCCTGTTTTTGTTTTTTTCTTTCTTTGTTGGCATCCTGAAATATTTTCCTTCTCCCCTCTCTCTCTGCTTCTTTAATAGTTTTGAATCCCAGTTTTGGGACATTTATGTGTTTTTACTTATGCTGTCTCCACCCCAACACCCCACCCTTTGCTCCCTGCAGCACAGATAGCTCAGATCAGGTTACGTAGCTCATATGGTCCTACATTAGGCTACATTAAAACTAAGTTGTTCATGTACAGCAGGGTGTTTAAAACCAAGACTGGATAATTTTTTCTAAATGATTTATAGGTTAAAAATTTATAGGTTAAAAGTTTCAGATCTTTTCTCAAAACCACTGCAGTGAGGTAGGTTTGGGGGATAGGTGTATACACCTTTAAGAGCTGAAGGGGTGGATCTTAGTACATGGACCAATTACTGCCAGCCAGGGTCAGAAAACTAGGAAGTATCATGTATTTGTTGCAGTTCAGACACAGCTCAAGTCTAACCAAGGTATGGTTGCTTTCTAGCTCCTTTTTTAGTTTAAGGTAAATACAGTGTAACGAGAGTCGGGGTGCCACTCTGAATTTCCACAAAGGCGGGCCTGATGATTGAGCAGAAAGGAACAGAAATCTGTTATCTGTTGACTGACTCAGCAGTACAGTTTTTGCTGTACTGGTGGAGAAGGGAGGGGTGGTGGGGAAGAAGGTAGAGAGAGATAGAAACTAAAAGCAGAGAGTGAGAGAGAAGGTGATCCGGAGGTGATGACAGCACGCACTGCAGTAAAGTACAAAACGTTTAGCAACACCAGTCACTGACTGTGGTTATCACTCATAACTCTCAGGTGTCAAACAGAAATCTGATGTCACAAAGAAAACGTGGATTCTTAACACGTGTTGTAGTAGGATGACTCTTCAGGAATGGCATTTTAATTATGATGAATTAAGCGAGTGAATGACAGACCGAGTCCTTCTACCGTGCAGCTGTGAGACTGCTCCGTAATTATTCTTTTACAGCCTCCGTGTCATTTCCTGTCATGTCAGACCCCTCCTAAGCGAAAGACTGTGTTTATTGCTCTTCATTGACTTCCATGCACCGTTGGTGTGTAACTGTCAATCAGACGTTTGACTGGAATAAATACTGCATGGTGTTTTGAAGATGACTGCTAGAATACACATGTGCATTTTTTCTCTCAACAGACACTAACATGTTCTGCATCTCTCTCTCCTTCCCATTTCTTTGCCGCCTCTTTCTTACTTTTATCTTCCTTGTTTTTCTCACTTATCCATCCTGTTTGGTTTGTTTCCATTCGGTTGTCTCCATTTTGGCATCATCGCTCCCTCATTACCATTTATGCTTGTGCGTCTGCCCTCTCCACCCGAACTCCTGCACTTTTTGGCCTTGCTCTCCCTTTGAACCGAGCAGTTTCCTCACCCCCGCTCTCCCTCGCCCAGTCCTCCCAACCCTACTTCCTCCACACCGCTATCCCTTCCTTTCGCCCAGGCTACTGTTACTCCCACCCCCTTGCAGATCCCAGGCCCCGCAGTCATGTAGGCCAAGGGCCCACAGACACACACAGAAACACACGGTGGACTCCTGCTGTCCACTCAGCTTGTATCCACAGAGATGAATCGAGCTCTGGGTTTAAAGATGAATCCCCGGCTGCTTTTGGTGTAGAGTCTCCACGTGACTGTGGGGATAAGTTTAAGCAAAACACACATTCAGCTTACCAATATAACAGCGATCCCAAAACCAATGAAAGGGACTTTGCAACTGAGTCAATCTGCAATCTTGACTCCCTTTACCAAAGTGATTCAGAGAAGCAGAATGATGCCAACGCCGTGTCTGTTAGCAGCACCGCTGAAGCTCCAGGTTGCACCACACCGTATAAGAATATCGATGTTATGATGATGTATTCAAACAGCATTGGTGCTAGGGATTCGATGTATTCAGAGAAGCGCTCACTCTCACACACAGACCAGGTCAGCATCAAGGCTAGGACATCCAAAGATCTCCCTCCCCTCCCCACCTATTACCTGTACCACCCTAAGAACTGCCCTCTTCACAGGGGGGCTCCCCCCCGCCTCTCTCCTATTGGAGCCCTCTCCCCTCCCCATCGCTCCGGAGCACCCCCTCCCGGTGCAGCAAGCTCCTCCCTCAGCTCCCCGCTTTTCCCCCGCTCGCACACCTTGCCTGCCCTCGCTGCTCCCCTCTACTATCCTAACCTCTACCCTCCTATACCGCCCAGGGCGCCCCCCCTACCCCCAAAACTCCACCAGGCTCCTCTGCAGTCACGCGTGGCGAGTAAGATCTCTCTCTCTCTCCATACATCTTACACTTTTTCTCCTTGTCTGACATCTCGCATGTCTGTCTATCTCTCTGTCTGTCTCTATTTCTGTCTCTCTTCTCTCGTCTGGATGTGGTGGCCTACACGCTTGTGTCACCTATGGCCCCGGGGGGTTGCAGATTTAAAAGAACTAGGTAACTGTAGCTGTTTTATATATCAGAAGGTGCGTCCCTGCAGGCCATCTGATACGTCTTATCTGCTCTGTCCTTTCAAATCCGCAAAGGGCCTTCAGAAGGGTAACAGCTGTTTCTGTCACAAGGTGTCTAGAGTCACTCTCATCACTGTCTCTCTCTCTCTCTGTCTGTCTTTCCTCACCTGTCTGTCTCTTTGTCCCGATATTGTTCTTGTCGTCTTTTTGTTTTTGCATGGTGTACCCACACAGACACGTGCATTTCATGCAAAGCGAACCTTAAGTAGCTGCTTGATGATGATGTGATGCTAATAAATAAATAAAGTTTTCATTTTTATTTGTTCTGTGTTCGGTTAAGATCCACCGCATCCTGTCCATTGTACACATTTGCATTTATCGATCTAGTTTATATAAATACATTTATATAAACAGCAAAATGTACTTTACACCTACCCTTTGCACATGGATGTACTTTCTTCTGACCTGGTTCTTGTGGTAGTTCCTACACTTGTTTGTTCCTAGCTCTGCAGTTCCTCCATGTATGCCTATATTAAGTATGTGAGTATTTGTATAACTGTGTTTGTGTGAGTTGAGGTTAATTGCATGGGATCCTGTTTAGCCCTGAAGCAGACAAAAAGTTGTGTTCACAGATCCAGTTGTGAAAACCTCATCACAGTAATCCTACAGGATGTGCTCGCTCACTGTTTGTCGTCAGCAGTAACGACTGCTTCCATCTGCTTCTATCTGGCTTCTTCATTGCTTAACTGCTCCTGCTAATAATGCTAATATTTTAGTTGTTTTGTTTCTTTTGGTGGCGATTCATTTTTTTTTAAGTTTGTTAATTTGTATTTTTTTTATCACTTGCATACAAAGTAATTGCGATATATATTTATTTGGGGTTTTGTTTACCATCGCTGTCAGCTGTTCGCAGTGTCTCATTCGCTGGCTCTGTGCTGAAGACAGACACACCCTGGATGGGCGAGGATGTGAAGCATCCAATGAGAGGTCTTGGCCTATCCTCTCTGTGCCTACAGGAAAAGAAAGGTGGGGTTGGATGTACATGTGCAGGATGTGCGTTTGTTTGTCTGTGCACGCTCTTCTAACCAGCTTTACACCCGGTTCTCCTCTCTAGCCCTGGTAGGCGCAGTTAGTGTGGCAGTGGAAGCCATATTGGCCCAGTTCAGTTCTTCAAGGACTGTGGTTCAGAAGGTCAGTACCTGCTGGTTTGATGACAGTAGCTAGAAGGACTGTGTGCTTTTTCATTTTTAGTCACCCTTTATAATCTATGTTTTTTTGGCTAAACTTCATGGTGTATTAAATTCATTATGTACCTTTGAAAATATTTCCCCTCTTCCTTCTTGTTTTGACTATTGTGTGCCTTCCTCCAGTCTTCCTCAGTTAACAGGGTACTAGAGTATCTTAAGATAACCCAGTTTCTTAGTCACAAGAATTTCTTTGTCAACTTGCTGCTCACTCACCACCCAAATCATCCCTCATTACATCATGTTGATCATCATCACACAATCCCCCTTTTCCACCCCTCCCTCTCTCTTTGAGTCATCCTTTTCATCTTCTTGTCCAATCGCTGCACATCTTCCTTCTCACCAAACACCCATTTTTTTCCCCCCCAAACCGTGCTCCCTTCCTTTCTTCTCCTCTCCTCAGGCCTTATCAGGAGACAGCGCTATAAATCCATCACTGGGCCGTCTGGTGCTGCAGTGCCTCTGCCCCGCCCTCCACAGCTTGCTGACTGATGGCTTGAAACCCTACCAGAGTGACCTGATTGCAGGCAGAAGGCCAAACTCTGCTTGGAGTCTAGTCCAGGCTTCAACCAGGGCAGGTAGCATATCATGCATCATAGCCGTGGATATTAAAAATCAGATATTATCCTGTTGTTCCTCTTGAGGTTTGGTTTCCTGGTTGATAGTGATAAACTCTGCAATTCGTCTGTCTCCACTTTTCTCCCACATCAGTCAATACTTGTTGATTTTATCGTCTAAAATGCTGAATAAAGTGAACACCAGGACACAGATATTGATTGGCCTACGAGTGCCAAGCTTCACAGCAATTTTTCACTCACTTCTGTAAGGTCCTTCATTGATCTCTCTCTCTCTCTCTCTCTCTCTCTCTCTCTCTCTCTCTCTCTCTCTCTCTCTCTCTCTCTCTCTCTCTCTCTGTGCATTTTATCCTCTTCCTCCCAACCGATCTTCCAAGGTCCTAAAACTCATGCCTTGTTCAGTCTGCAAGTTCGAGTTGGAGAGCTACCCCAGCTCAGACAGAGCAAACACAGGTTCAACGCATTCCTCCTCGGCCTACTGAAGTAAGCAGTGGCTATTAACAATCCTTGATCTCCACTGACGACTCGTTTAAGAGCATGCTATTCATTTTATTATTGCACTCACAAGGCCAGATTTACTAATGGTTCTGCGCAACCACAAAACCATTTTGTGGCATTCATTTACCTCATATACCTCAAATTGCAGTAAATTGAACATAGAAAAAAGACTTGTTACATTTTGTGCCTGGTGTTGTTGTGATAGTTGCATTAGCAGTGTTCATTTATTTGGAATGACAGGATACCAGTGTGAGTACGTAACGACATGGGTGGATGGGTCAAAGTTGTGAGTGTGTGTAAAAGGTTCGACTACATCCTGTAACTCTTCGCTCGGTCTTAACTCTGCACGCTTAGATCTGAGCTCCACATATTTGTGGTCCGTAGTAATACTGGTATTTTGATGAAGTGGAGCCTAACTTAACCAAACTGAAGTGAACTGAAGAGTCCTGATGTTAAATAGGCAACAGGGTTATATTTTAGAGTGAGCTGATGGTTTTCAGTGTTTCAGGCATTTAGTCTCATTTCAGTTTATTTATTTATTTTTGCTCCTCTCTATCAGAGCTGTTACATACCATATTGGAATGTGGAGCTGAAATGAAAACGGGATCTTTGTTAATGTGTTAGAAAAATGTCTTCATCTTACAATATGTAATATTGACTGAAATAGGTATTTAGCGCTTCATACAGCCTGCAGGAAACAAAAAAGCAGATCATGCACTTGCATAGCGGCACAGTAACAGTATCTTCAGTAAGACACCAACAATAAATAGTGATTTGTGTTCTCCTACACATGGTGCAGGTCAGCTGTTACACATAGTGTGTAGTAACGCAGCTCTCGTCTGCGCTCCACCGGAGTCTCAGTCCTCAGGTTCACACTCAGTCTTCAGTCATTTCTAACAGTGGAGTTCAACCTTATATTAAAGATATTGTCTCTCCTCCAACTGCTTGTCATTTTCCTGAATTCTCTCACTGTTTTCAGAGAGAAACACTTGAGTAAAACCTGTACTTGCACTGTTTTACTACACCCTCATCGAGGCTGCTTGTTTTTAACCTGCTAATTTGTGCTGCTCTTGCAGAATGCTGAAATCAACTGCCTGCATTCTTGTTTATAAATTAGCACATTGTTAGTAGATCACCCACATAACTTTCCACTCCCATGGGCGCATTTCTGCATTTGGTAATTTGCTCCACTTAGTAAATCCGGCCTAAACTGCATAATAATTTCTGTGCACGTATCTTCTTTGTATCCTCGTTACTCATCTTCTTTCTGTTTTTGTCTCGTAGTACCAAGCTTCTTGACTTCTGGCTGTCTTACCTTCAGTCTTGCAGTGGTAAGTTTTCCTCTCTTCTAGCAGTTGTTGCAGTTATGAGCAGGGTGCAGTTTGCCAGGGTGGGGATGCAAATGCAGGGGATTTTCCCCTGTTTGATGAATAAATGAAATGAACTCAGAGTATCAGGAGACCGCTTGCCTGATCAGTGACTTCAGAATTTCCTGCAAAGGTGAGCTCCACAGCAGCTGCTGTGACGGGCTGATTGAGAAGAGCAGTCACGCGTTCATGTAAAAAGAACCTGTCCACAGTTCAAAGTTAGAGCAGGTGATTTGCGACACTGTAAGACGAGGTTACAGAAGAAAACAGGTAAGTGTTGAGAGAGAAAGGGGGAAGACACTCAGCAAAGGGCTGTGGGTCAGACTCAACCTGTGCCACCGAACACTGACCATAGGGTACGTGGTCACCTGCTGAGCAACCAGACTCATTTTTACACATTTTTTAACTCTCAAACTCGAAGATCTCCAATTGATTCAGTAAATGAATCATCCAGAGAGAAGGAAAGCGAAGCACTTCAGATGACGCGGGAAAGCAGAAAAACTCTTTCATCAAAGCAGGCTGTTTTCTTGATGTAGGTATATGCTATACAGGACTAATTAATATTTTTTAAATGCAGCATTTTGTTCTGTTGAAATTTGTACGTATTTCTTTTCAAATATTGAAGCTTAATGGCAAAATACTATTAATTGGATTTGGGACCTTATTCTTGCATGTCAAACCTTTTATACGGCTGCATTTGATCGAGACGTAAACATTAATATTTCTCTAGAGGCTGTTAATATTCCTCATATTAATTTCATTGAAAAGAATTCATGAGAATATTCTTGTAAAAGCTGTGGACATGTGTTTACGTCCTGAATTTGTTTAGTTGGATTCTCTAAACGATACATTGACAGCAGCGATAAATGCCATTATTTTCATGTCGTGGTGCAAATCTGGTTACAAGCATAAATGTAAATACTGAAACTGACCTCTCTCTCGCGCGCGCGCTCTCTTTTCTCAGATGTGCTGGAGACCTATTACCACCCCACCTCTTTTATGCGTCTGTCGCAGACCGCCTGCCAGCCTCTGTTTGAGGAGCTGCTCCTTGTGTTGCAGCCTCTGAGCCTGCTCACCTTCAACCTCGACCTGCTCTTCCAGCACCACCATTTAGAGCCAGAGAGTCACAGGCCAGAGATCCCCAGCCCTCCCTTTCCGGATCCTGGATCCCAGCTTTCAACAAATGAGACAGCAATAAATGGGTCTCAATCCAAAACTCCAGACAGCAGATACAGTGAAAGCCTCTCAGAAGTAGACTTTGGAAGCCCAGATCATCAGGCAGCTAAAGATGCTAAATCATCACCTGTGACTAATTCAGATAATGGAGGATCGGCAGCGTCAACAGATACCAGTTTTGGACCCACAAAGGCTTCAGTCACTCAGGAGGAGACGAGTCCTCAACTGTTGTGGGTCCAGGAAAAAGAAATTGAAGATTTGCCTCCTCCTAACGTTGAGGAAGACAGCCTCGCTCAGCAGGCAGGACAGGTAGCCACAACTGTTCAACTCCTCTGCCTTTCTATTCAATGATGATTGTGTGATTATGCAGAAATTAATTTATCAGTTTTTTTTATTTACAGGTAATTCAACAAGGATGGGGTGCTGTGGTGCGCTGGGGAGGCCGACTGAGTCAGAATCTGGCTGAGTTGAGCCTCTCTGCAGTGAAGAAGGATGAGATGAACACAGATCTGCCAGATCTCCAGGCTCAGGCAGGAAGCGACTACACTCCAGTCAGCGGTAGTACTCAGGTTCCCTGGGGTCTGGGCCGGCTCTTTGGAGCCTCCAAAACTCCCACCAGCCCGACAGGTCACACACAACCAACCAGGTCAGTCATTAAATATGTAATAGTTATTATGTAGTCTAGACTACAGAAATTGGTTTTACTGATAATCAATCAATTGAATAAATTAAATTAAATCAGCTTCTGAAGACAATTGTCTGTGACTCATGACTGTTTGTAATTTTCCAAGTTTCTGTAATTTTCCTCAGACGTCCCTCTCAGTGGTTTGCACCCGGTGTCACTGCGCTGACCCGAATGGTGAGCAGCAGCTCCACACCAATGCTGAGAAAGATCCCCGAGACTCTGGGAGAGACCGGATCAGAGTCCGAGAAAGATGTCGACACACTGGAGATGAAGGACAAACCCAGACCACTCAGGTACAGCAGACATAAAGTGATGGCAATGATGGATAAGGAGCAATGACACAGCATTGCTGTTTTCTCACTGTTACTGTTGCAAGCGCTGATTCTGTTTCCAAGTTTTAAATACATTTATATGACCTATATTGGCCTTTATAATGTAGACCAGGGGTCTCCAACTCCAGTCCTCGAGAGCTACTGTCCTGCAGCTTTTAGATGCGTCCCTACTCCAACACAGCTGAATCAAATGGTTGGATTACCTCTTCAGCACGCCATCAAGTTTGGCAAAGGTGATAACAAGCCATCCATTTGATTGAGGTGTGTCGGAGCAAGGATGCGTCTAAAAGCTGCAGGACAGTAGCTGTCGAGGACTGGAGTTGGACACCCCTGATGTAGACTGTCTTTGTTAAGTGAATGGTAACATCTCAAAGCCCAAAACTGGCAAAAATCAGATGACAGCAGTGTAATTTTGGGTCAGACCTTTACACAAGTGGGATCCTAGTCTGCATATGAAAGATGGATCCAACTTCAAGGTATGAGTAGTGATACCAAGCTAGTGCCTCAAATCTGCATGCTCTCTTCTCATCTGAGAAGCCCCATTGTTTACACGCCTGTGACAAAAAAAATTGACCCGTGATGTCAGTAAGTTGTCCCAATGATTTTATGGTCTCAATCGCTGGTTTCAAGTCAAATTTTACATTTCCATCCAGAGTAAATTAGATGATAGGGTTTGTCTGCCTTGTGAGTGTGCAGTGTCCTCTATTTTTCACCCAGATCTGGTTTCAAAAGACTAATATGGTCACAGTGGGTGACACAGTTATTTTTATGTCTTTTCTTTTGCAAATCAATATTTTTCCCCACTGATAAGGGCGGCAGGGGTTATACCAGAGACACCAGAATAGCTGCTGTTATCAGTCTGAAGTCTTGTAAACGGTGACTCATCCCGTCTGACATTATACGCTGACGTTACTCTTTGTGGCTGGTGTAAACGTCGATCACTGCGGCTGAGACAGTGTCTTCTGTCCCAGGTCGGTGCGAACGCTGTGTGACCACGCTGGATCCGGTTCCGAGCTCAGCTTCCGCAAAGGGGAGGAGCTCGTGGTGTTAGGAGGCGTCGATCAAGACTGGATTCGCTGTCGTCAGGGAGACAAAGAGGGGCTGGTACCTATTGGCTACACCTCTCTCATCATGTGACCATAACTGCTGCACTTAATCAACACTAAAAAAATCAATAAATAATTATAAAATATATATATATATATATTTTAGGTGAGTATTGAGAGGTTATGGTAAGGCTGCACTACTCTGAAAGGGATATTTCACACAGGCTCGGTTACAGTTTGAGTTAAGGGCATAACACCATCTGTTGTGCTTTATGTGCATCAGAGGCAATCTGCAGCCCCCCCTCGTTATGAACATATTGGAGCTTTTCCCATCACAATCATTTCAGTTTGGTAGCGTTCAACTAATAGATTTTAGCAGCAGGAATTGAGCAGATGGTGCGAAATAATGACTCGACTCAAACTTGGATCATTTCAAACCAGAAGACCTTTGATCCTCGAGTGAATTATCCCTTCAAATGCCTTTTTTCTCCATTTCCGCCTTGCTTGCCGGCCGCTGATCTGAAAGCGATTGCCAAAATTCTTTGCAGTCTGTCACACTCGAGTGCGTTCAAATCAGCGGCTATCTGTCGCGAGGAGGCGGCGGTCGACAGCCTGGCTGCAGGTCGTCGAGTGGGGAAAGCATGTCGGAGTAGTGGGCCGTAGCTCCTGTTGCATACTGCGTAGTAATGTAGTGAACTGTAGCTGTGTAGACCCGTTCTATTGACCTTTTACCCTTATTGACCTCTCATCTTTCTCACCTAGTTTATGTGTGTTTGACATGTTTCTGCTACTGTATTTGACTGTATAAATATACATATAAAAATATATATATATAAATATATAGCTATATAAAACGAGATTGATATTACCAAGATAGACAGAAAGGTAGATAAATATGAGAAAGTAGCAGCTTAAGGCTGCAGCCGTATTGATGGAGTGATTATTCATCTTTACATTTGCAACAACATGAAGCGGATGTCATACATGCAAAAACAAATGAATATGTGTTTATTTTAAGTATGCAATCCAGTATCTTCCCTATTGTGCGCTTTATGTATTGCCATTGTCATCATATTCATAACATGATTAAATTGAGCTCATACCTTTTAAACTCTGTATGCACTGTAATGTACCACGAATGCTCTGAATGAAAACATCTTAGATATCCCACAAAGTTATAGACGACAGCGACCTGTAGCCAGAATCTCACAGAGCCTCCGTGGGTTTTAGCAAAAACCCTCACAAAAGTCTGCCCCGCTTTCTCGGCACTGTCTGAATTTCAAATGAACGCAGTGAGAAAAACCCCAGATGTGATGTCGATTCATAAATGCTACAAGTCTGTGGGTTTGGTGGCTGGTCTTCACCTCGTACCTCAGCTTTTGTATTTATCTTAACCCCATGTTTGCCGATCATAATCATTGATATTAATGGTAGTGGTAGCAGTGGAAGTGATTCGTTTGTTTTGTTGTTGCTTAAATGAAAAGAAAAAAAACCTGTTGTTTTGTGTCACATAATTATTAGTTATCTGTATCTATGACTATGCATATATTTAAATGCGCAACTAGAAGTGTGTTTAGTTTGTTATAAAGTCTATTTTAATTTGATGTTATCATGCAAGAGGAAACCGGAAGCATAAAACGATAAGTGCTTAAATTAAAAAAAGAAGGAGGGCGATTTTTAAGCGGCCAGGAAAGGCTAACGCTAAAGGACCTCTATTCAATCAGCAGGAAAGTTCCATTGCTATTGATCAATCAGGGAAAAGATCAGTTCTGCAGAGTTTCAGTGTAGCATGCGATTGCTGGCAACAGTCCAGTAGCATTAACTTAAACCAGTGTCATAACTCATTATCAGGAAAAAAAAATGCCAACACAAGTGATTAAAAGAAATAAAAGAAACAAAGTCTAGATACAGATAAAATATCAGTAGACACATTTAGTTTGTTTCTTTCCGATGTGAGATTAAATGCATTTGTTTAAAAGCTATTTATTTATGGGATGTATTATTTATTGATCTTGAGGTTTCTGAAAGGAATAGCTCGCTAATTATCCGGGTTTTTCGTGTGCGAAAATGCACGCATGGCCGTGTGTATGTGCGTGTATGTGAAGTGAAAGCAGAGATGAGTTCGAGCACTTCTCTGTCAGCGCATCCTGCACTTTCACTTGTGTGTGTGAGTGACAGTTAGTTCTGTTCCTCCCTCTCCTCTCTGGTGTCATGTAGCCCGTAGACATCCCGTTGTCCTACTGTTGCGTATAGAGTGCCCCTCTAGTGTCAGTCACTGTTCAGCTCCTGCATGTGCTTGTTTGTAAATACACCAAATAAAATATGTATAAACCAAACATGATCACCTGTTGGGAGTCATTTTTTTTGCACTATAGTTGATGTAAAATCCCCTATTAAGCCAGAACCTCAGCTCTATACTGAAGAGAACCTGTTTATGTGTTACAATGGTGGATGCTCAAAGTAAGCATGCTAAAGTTTAAAATAATGAGATTATTTTATGTGGAGGTAGTGAATGAGCCATAATCTCAGTTCAGTCAGGTTTTTCTGGATCTTTCTTGGATCTTCATGTTGTCATGGAGAGGGGATGCCCTTAATTAAGACATCTCAGGGACACAGCTCTGACTGTGAGGACAGCAGTCCATCTAAACAAGGTCCAGTGTAAGATAAATAAGGATTATTTTGAACTCTGAGCCATGGACTCTGCATGTTTCTTAATATCGATTGCATTTCATTTATTTGTTGATGTCTGAAATGTGCAAGATTACAGAGGAAATGAGGAAAGCTCATAATGTAGTATCCTGTAAAAACAACAATAATAAAAAAAACACAAAAACTTTTTTAAGCTCCTGAGAAATCATAATCTTCCCACTTTATTTACTCAGATCAAGATCTCTGGGTGTCTTTTGGACGTTCTGAAGGGCAGAAAGAGGAGAAAACGTCTCCAGGGCGAGCTGCAGCCCTCCCCCATCTTGTAACCGTTTCTGTGGTAGCGTCCTCCTTTGTGGGTCATTATGGAGGACAACACATTGTGAGATATACAATCTAACGCCACTAGATAGCACTGTTAGCTCCCCCGTCCCCTTATAGTAAACAAAGCAAGAAGGAGGTCTTTAAGCTGAGACACCACGAGCATTCAGGGTTTAGTACTAGTAGACATAAAATGCTTTTATTATTATGGATACAGAGGCAAAAAGTTTGAGCTGACATTCTATGGCGTTGAGTTATCACTGTTTTTTTTTGTTTGTTTTTTTAAGCACATTATCAGAGGCAACAGGCAAAGGTTACATGTCATGCAAACTAGATAAATAACTCTTTACGTGTACCTTTGCTATAAAGTTAATCATCCACTGGCAATAATGTAGTGCTCTTAGTTTAAAAAAGGAAAGAGGGAAAAATATACATACAGTATGTAAACAGTCAAAGAAATTGCACTTTCTTGGCTTGTTATTAGAAGCCACACTACTGAAAGAGAGCAGAAATGTAACACTGGAAAAACTAAGTCACTGTCACTGATTGTCTGACCAAAAACAAAAGTAACGCTCGGCTAAAGAAAATCAAATAAAAACAACCAATAAAAGAAAACCCAAACAAACCAAACAGACAAGTTATGTCCTACAAAAAACAAAATAAATCATATACAATCATAGTCAACTTTAAGGGAAAATGTCTGATATATTGGTCAGCTGTATAGTTTCTTAAAAACATCTTAGTAAAATGAAAGGTTTATTAACTTTCATGTATAATCCAGACTGTATTGTGTATAATACTAATTTTACACGCTACTGCTGACAGAAAGAAAACAGGTCTCTCGATGTACTGTACATTCACACGTAACTAAACGCTTATGTTACTTCCAATAAGTGGATTAGCCCGATGTTCCTAAGATGAGAACAAACTACTTTGCATCTGTACAGAAAAATGACCTCCAATCTTCAAATATTCACAACTTTTTTTTTTCTTTTTCTTAGTTTATCTTAAAAAGGAAGTTCTTATATAGTCCTTATCAGAGGAGATATTGCTTTTAAAGACTGCATGAGTTCGCTTAGGTACGTACACAAGACAACATGGCACTTCTACAGAGCATTTGGGGCAAATCGATTCTCATTCCCTTTCCGCTCTCCTTCCTCCCTCCTGCCGAGGACATTCTGATTGTCAGTGCTCTGAAGCAAAGAGTGAAACATTCTCAAAGGCAGTCTGAAGTAAACAAAAACACTTTTTACACGTCCACCTCTCCTCCCTCAGAAGCAATACTGAAAATAGTTAACAATAAACATTCCTATCGTGAATATATTTCGTCCATTTCTTTTAGCGGACACGACTCGAGCTGTCTTTGTTTTTTCTCCAAAAAATAACTTCTTTCTTAAAACCTCATTAGAAATTCTCTTGCAGCGATGCCAAAATTCCTATCACTAAGCCCACCCCCTCCCCTGCCTATTCACTGGTACATAGCAGACACTGTCTTGATAAAGTGAAGAAAACCCCCTAACACTGTCTCAACAGCTTTTAACTGGCTCACGTCTCCTCTCGTGTCATTTTCCCAAAGGTGCAATGTGACTTTGAAAGCTTACCAACTAAATGAGCGTTCAATTTTGACCTACTTAGGGCCCAGGCTACATTTTGTATTGCTCTGGGCAGCCTGCGAGCTCCTCGTCTCTTGGAAACGTCGGAGCTGAAATGCTGAGTACCATATAAGTCCATATCCAAACTCCCCTGCAATGTCCGTCTTTCCCAAATTTGCTTAAGGTGCTGAAGTAAGAGCAATCAAAGTGTACAGTATGTGTGTGTTTATAGTGTGTCCACTCAGCATACATACAGTCTTTAGTGTGCTTGTTCAATCAGCACTAGTGCAAATTCATTTCAGCTGGTCTGTTTCTTTCTTTCTTTTTCTTTCTTTCTTTCATACGGGACAGTCTATCTCTGTTTCTCTCATCCCTCACCGCTCGGACAAAAGATGTGTTGCCATGGTTTCATCCTTGATGTGGATGCCCTTCAGAAAGCTAGGATCAACACACTCATCTGTCAGCGTTTGAGATGTCTTTCTTTTGCATTTTCAGCTGGTATAATTCGCCAGATCTCGTCTCCTTTTTCTCGCTTCTTCTCTGCGGGACTGCCATTGTTAACAGCAGCGTTGTGACATCAGTTCATCTGTCCAGTGGTGGGTCCTGGTCCCTTTCTCAGAGTGGTCCCACCTACACAAAAGAAAAGATACTGTCAGCTAAATAGTACACATACTTCTGGCTTCTGCTTCAGCGGCAGACGTTTCACTTACCCCCTCTTTTTAGCTTATGAATGCTGCAGGTTCAAAAGTAAATCATTCAGCCGTTTCCTCCTCTGTTCTCTGCTGCAAACTTCTCCTTCCCCTTGTTTTTCTTCCTCTCCCTCCTCCTCATGTCTGCTGTGGGTTTTGGTGGGCTGGAGTGAACAAGTATGCACAGTTAATTTCAAAAGCAGATTTTTTTATCCTTGTGGAATTTTTGCATTGTTAATATATATATATATATTTTAATGTTTGTAGATTTGTTGACTCACACAGGGGCTGGCAGTGAACGAGCTGGAGGTGTCCTGACTTTGGTGGGGGGGGTCACTGCTGATAACCGTCACTTCCACCCCCACTGGATGATCTGAGGGTCAAAGGCCAAAGAGTTTTCTGTATGTTAGTGAAGGCGACGTAGGAGGAAATGAAAACTGCGCTCGTTTCTTTTACAGAAATGTCTGTAATTATGCAAGTGTCCTTATTTCCCCTTGATTTCTATCTGCAATCAGTCATGGAGTCTTTGATGGAAACTGTGTGTGGTTTCACTGTTAATGGGGAAAGTTGATGCCTGCTGGGTTCTTGGACACCAGCGGTGGATGACAGAAATGGGGAAACATTTCTGCAGGCTGAATTCTGTGGTTGGAAAACCACTTAGTTTTTGTTGCTGAGTATGATATGCAGAGACAAGCCAGTTGTGAGGACGGCGGTCTGTACGGCACACACGTACACATACATGCACACGTGGAGGAAAAGACACAACACAAGACGCCGAAAGAAGTCGGTAGAAATGAAAATGTATAGAGTTTAAACCACATACACGGGGGCATACACGAACACCTACAGAAACAAAAACTAACACACACACTTGCTTCATGGACCTGACTTGATGTGGCTGTCGTCCCCATTGGCTCCTTCACAGGACAGATGTCGTGAGTCGCCCTCCTCTCCCTCCCCCTCTGCGTCTCGTTCTCTCTCCCTCTCTATTCTCATCCGGATTTGTCTGTCTCTCACCAGCTCCCAGTTCCTCACAAGGAACACATGGTGCTTCACCACAAAGCTCCTGGCCCGGCACAAATGGAGAAACATGAACTGCTGACATTAATATCGCAACAAATAGTTTAATGTGAAACGCGAATCGTCGTGTACTTTCCGTACCTCTCGCTGCTGGTCAAAGGCTCCATGTCGAGGTGCGGGAACAAGCTGGTAATGTCACTGGAGCTCTCCTCCTTTACAATAAATGCAGAGACGCGCGTAAGCTTCGGGACAGATTATTGCAAAAACATTCATCACTGGAATCAAATAACCACGAGCCACAAAAAACTCACCGCTGTCTGCTGATATGATGCAGTCCTCTCTTTCAGCCGGCCTGAGTGAATCAGAGAGAAAGAAACACGGTAAGAAAGAAATTATCCGGCAAGCTAAACCTGACGACATCTAACAACTGCTGTAACACTGTAATAGCGGCGACTCACAGTAACGCCGCTTCCTCTTCAGGGGGACAGCAGGCTGTCGGTGAAGCTGTAACCAAACAACATGAAAGTTAGATCCAAGGACATTTTTTTAAAAGCTTGTGCCCTGCAAAGTCTGATCTGGTGTGACTGTACCTGGTTGTGCTGCCAGAGCCACATCACATCATAGGGCAGCTGGAAATTAATTCTTTTTAGCCTCAGGTACTTCCCTGAAGAAGATAAAGTGAGCTTAGCTGCATTACTACAAGAACATAGTACACACTAGCAGTGTTTACATTTTCTTATATACTCACCGACATGGATGGGAGCAGGTAAAAGGCTGTACTCGTTCTCCCCTGGCGTGTACTCCATGTTCTCTTTGCAGTTCTTCTGGGTTTGGGAGGGGGGGCTAGGAAAGATGCATAATAAATATTTAAACAAACAAACAAAAAATAAAAAACAGATAACGGAAAAAAACCCCCATTATAATAGTTTGTTTATGGATTCAGTCAACTCACTCTGTAGTTTTGTAATCATCAGAGTAAAGACCTGCCCTCAGGAATTTCTTCCTGGGAGGACCATCGGCCTTTTCCTCTCTTTGGATGGTTACGGGTTGGGGCAGAGCCTGGTCGACGTCTG